TGAATAAATACAGTACTAACTTCCTTACTTACTCTGTAACTTTGCTCCAGTTAATTTTAGCAGCATGAATCTTAGCATAGGTAATGTCCACAAGTAGATTTATGGTTTCCAGGAGTTTTTAGCATGATTCATTATGGTTTTAAATGGGTTATATGAGGCTAATGCAAAAATTATTCAGGCGGGAGTGGAAAAAAAATAAAATTCTGTTCTCGGTATCTATAAAACCACAGCAGCTGTTTCCTTACATTTCTGACGTAATCTCCCAAGTGTTAGCTTTATTTTGATACCAAGTTTATTTAAGTAGAGTTTGCAAATGCTGAGAAACACTTGGTTATATTTTTGCAAGGTGTTTTGAGCAAAAACATCAATAAAAGTCACTTACATTTTAACTAAACCTTCCTGAAATAGCTATAACTGGATAACTTTTGAAGTCATTCAAATCAACCTGACCACCGCAGCAAACACAAAAATGGCTAAAAATCAGCTATTTTTCCAAATACTGAGCTAAAAGTTTGAACAGTAGCTACATWCTGTAAATGCTCTGGGATTGACATGACGTTATATTCAGGGTTTCACCAAAAACACTAAACGAGACGATATTATTCTAAGGTTGTGGTTGGGATGCAGTACTTCAAGACATGCTAGGATTTCAATTAATTAATTTATTTAGCTTTTGAGCTGATCAGACTTTATTTTTTCAGTGAACACAACAGTGATGCGTTCCTGTCTTTGTGTTTCGCCTCACCTCTTCCAGGTAGTCGGCGTAGTTGATCTCTGACAGCCCCGCTTCAGAGAAATCTCGGAGGTTCTTCTTCCCCTCGGCCTCCAACAGGGTTATCCCTCGCAGGTCGATCTTCACGCTGTCCAGCTGCCTCAGCACATCCTTAGTAAACTGTAAACACAGCGACGCCAAGCTGAAGCTTTAATGAAGACACTGGAGCCTATTTACCATCACTGAATGTCAAAAACAAGGACTTTAACTTGATGAATACGTTCAGATTTACACCTAACAGCATTTACAAGTATAATTATTAGACTCCAGGAAGTTCCTTTAAGATTTTCCGGCGTTAATGAAGAGAAATGAATAAGGTTCAGCAACCAATCAGCTGCTGGCAGCCTGGAGCCAAGTCGAGGTACTAACCACGGTTGTGTTCAAGAAAGAAGAAATGTTGAAGATTTTGTCCAGACGCAAGGCGGAGTAGATGCCTTTGTTCTTTTTGCAGGTGCTGTTAAAGAAAGGCACACACACACACACACACACACACACACACACACAC